CACCAAAAACATAGTTTTCGTCTCGTACAATAAATCAAGGATGTATATAAAATAATTTTAAAATTAAAACTATTTAGAAATTAGTTAGAGAAAATATAAACCGAAACTACATAAAATGTTCTAGAATAAATAAGAAGAAAATAAAATGAAGATACAATCATTATAACTAATGTCTGTTTTATCTAACGACACAGCAACCTTATTTCTCACCTCGCTAGAGAATTCTGTTTAATTACACTGCCAATACACTACGTCAATAATTTTTCAATTTTATATGAAAGTTAAACTATGATATTGCAGTAATATGAGATTGCTCGACACTGCAAAACAGCCATCGACATTATTCATCGTACTGTGGGAGAGGGTGATGGAAAATTCGCAAACGAGTAGCAAATACTATTATTATATAACATTGAAACCGCCACAATAATCTGCTAATGCTGTCAATTTCTGTCACGTACCAGAACACAATAAATTTGTACCGTGTGCGTTAGTAAATGTAATAGATAAATCCTTTGAAAGCATCGTTCCTATGAACTCGCTATGGATATCGTGTCGATGATCACGTAATAACTTCATAATTAATGAAGTTCTCCACGTTCCATTAGCTTTACAAGCAAGCCAATAATAAGAGAGCCCTTAATGCGTCCCTAGCCCTTAACGGAGTCATTGGCCGACAGACGTGTGTGCGGCTTTGCCGCGTGAGATGCACGGCGTCACGCTGCCGCGTCTTTTGTCGGCAGGCATAAAACGCACGATTCCTCTAGTCGCGCCCCAGAAAGAAAAGGGCAGCCGAAAAAAGGGAATCGGGGATCTCGTGCTATGAGAGACCGCATTGACCGCCTACCTCCGGGGAAGAGAAGTTGAGTGGCTCGCGATCGGGTGCGACAAACCGTTCGCGCGACGCCGCAAAGCTAACTGCCAGTTCGAGCGCCGACCCCTACATTCTCCTTCGCCGCCATCTCCCCTCCACCCACCCTGCCCGCGCCGCTCTCGTCCGCGGGCCCATCAT